ATGAAATCGGATAGGGATGAAATTGTTTAGGGATGAACGGGTTTAAGAGTTTTAAGAGTCTAAGAGTTTTTAAGAGTTTTAGCCAAATGCTTTATAATATAGTATAGATATATATATATATATATATATGTGTGTGTATAGAAAGAGATTCCAAATTAAGTATCTTTATATTTATTTTAATTTATTCAAAAATAATTATTTATTTCAAAAGTAAGTTCTGATTTTCTATTCTATCCTAAAAAAAATTCTATTTAGTCATTAAAATGAAAATGTCATTTAGTTATTTAAAAGTGTAATCAGTCCATATTCTTAAAATTGTATGTCAGTTTTGTTATATAAATTTATTTTAGGAGCAACTGAATACAAGATTTAGGTGTGATTGCATACAAAGAGGGTTGATTTGGTCAGGCCTTATCTAAATTTGATAAGTGGAAATGGTGAAATGGTCAAGTCTATATATACCAAACCTTTGTTGAAGTTTGAGGTTAGATGCATGTTCCATCATACATCATCTCATGTCTTATATTCATTCTAATTCAAAACACGTTTAGAATATTTATTGACAAGCATCATCTATTAGGTATAATTTATTATAATAAATCATCATGATAAAGACCAAAAATCTTATTAAATAAGACGTATATCAAAAACCAAAAATCTTACTCGGTTATTGAAAGAGAACACTATCATTCTACCAACAACCCATTTGATGACAGAAAAATGTTACCTGATAAGGTAAGTTAGGACGATGACCGGTGCCGATAAGCGTTTACCCAATAACATTTCGTACGTACCCCTTTAGTCTTCGTTTTAAAACCAATGAGTCTTATCATTTCAGAAGTATCCTATAAAACTTGTTAAAATGTCCAAAATATTGTGTTTGTTATATGGGACAGAACATGATAGGAGGGATAAAACTCATTGTCCCACGTTTTACGTGACATGGGACAGGTTAAGAACTCATTGTCGTACGTTTGGTGCGAAATCGGGCAGGAACAAAAACTGGGACAAAGTGGATCAACGTGAATCAAAAAAGACTTTTTCTTGTTCCACCAAAATAAGTGAAACAAGATGCGACAAAAAAAGACATAAACTAAAATATTACTATTAACTATCGTTTGATATATAACTTTAATATGATATTTGTTTTAGTGGTCACCATTACTAGCCGCGGCCGCTACCACATGTAGCCACCATCAGCCACCTCCGACTCCTCTACAACAACCTCATCCACCACCTTCCAACCACCGTCGACCACCGTCCATTGTCACCTCCACAATCATCGTCGACCACCGACCACTACTGTCCATCGCCACCACCATTACCACTGTTGGACACCTCATCTTCTCCTCTACTACAACAACCTCCTACACCACCTCTACAACCACCGTCGGCCACCCACCACCATCGTTCAACACCACCACCATGGGCCACATTCACCTCCACCATAACCACCACAATCGGCTACCACTACCACCATTAGCTACCACTACCATTTCCCACCACCATAGACTATCATGACGACCATCTTACCATTTTCACGTCCTCCAAAACCACCGTCGACCACCAACCACAACCGTCCATCTCCACAATCACTAGTACCGTCGGCCACCACCACCTCCACCACTACCATTAGGTAACACCACCACCCACCACCACCACTACCTCCACCACATCGGTTACAACAACCTCCTCCATCACAAGATAAAAAAATACTTGCTTATAAAATTATCCTGAAAAACCTGTTAAGATGTTCAAAACGTTTTATAACACTTTTATATATGACGTAGAACGTATTGTATGGTTCTACAAAATAGTTTATTAAGACACTTGGGCATTTATGATGTACTGTAAACCCGACTTTACTATAAAATTAATAGGTGCAATCATATAAGATGTTTTCACTGACTTCAAACATTCGATATTTTCCACAAAACAGATAGATAAACAGAGTTTGGCTTGATGAGTACCAAATGCAACGTCGAAGAACACCATGATTGAATATTGATAAAGACTCTTAAAACACGTCTTATAAACCCGAGTTTTTGTTGTAGTATCTAGTTGCAACCAACAAAAATCCGCCAGACTTTGATGTGACAATCCAGACCACCACTGTATATGAGATAAGATGATGGATCATCTTCATCCTTTGCCAATGTCAAGCACTTAACAGGCCCATTGTGTCCCTCCAGTAGAGCTAAACAAAAGTAGCATTTATCAACACCTCTCCAAAGCCTTATGGTTTCATCTGCTGAACCACTACAAACCAAATCCGATACCACCGTTAAACACAATATAGCCTTCTTATGCCCCCTTAGAGTGCCCATAGCCACAGTGCTGCCGCCACCATTCTTCTCCCAAACCACAATGGATCGATCACTGGCGCCTGAATATAACATGTTCCCATCACTGCTTAATGCAAGTGCATTTATCCCAGATTTATGTTTCTCCAATGTAGAAACCAGTGTGAGGACGTCCGTGCCCTCTGGTGGCATCTTCCTCCAAACCCTTATTTTCTTGTCTGCTGATCCAGTATAAACATCTCCATTGCTAGATGATGCTACTGCATTAATGGCATCATCATGTGCATTTGCTACAGACTGTAGGCATTTGAAATCACTTGTCTGCCAAATCTTTAGAGTCCTATCCCATGAAACCGAGTACAAAAGCGATCCGTCATTTGACAGGGCTAGTGCTGATACGGTATCAAGATGATGGACCCACGTGGATTTTTTGTGTCGTCGGACCTGTACATGGTGCTTGGGTATTAGAAGCTTTAGGGCCCGATCACCAAGGGTTGGGAGGGTGGCTAAGTGGGTCAGTTTGGTTTCGTGAGAACTGATTTTCCACACACGGATTTTGTGATCTTGATGGGCAGTGAATAATTTGTCAGATGAAACCACCATCGACTTTACTGCACCGTTTCCGGTGACTACCATGGCATCGGCTATAGATTCTTGTTCGGCATGGGAGCTAATTAAACCGTTGAGGTTCCAAAGTCGAATTTCTTTGTCGGAAGAACCTGCGAATAAGAAGTGTCCTCCAATGGCAAGAGAGGAGACGTAACAGTTGTGGCCTTCAATAGTAGCAATGCAGTGGTGAAGGTAACAAGAATGAAGGGTAGAGTGATGTTGTGAGCTAGAAGCAAGATGTGACATCTTGGATGAATGTAAAGTGAAAGGTTAAAAGCAAATGGTTGCTGAAGGTTGTGTTATTTAAGTGAAAAGTTATAGGATTTAAGCATAGAGATGGAGTTTGAGATTAGTGGTGAGCATAATCCACTAAAGTTTGCCCTTCTCCATCTTTCTTTAGAAAATGGAAACAATATACATCACTCACCAAAAATATTCAGATAATCCATAATTGAACCCATTGATTTTAGCAACGGATCTCCGCATGATGTTGTGCAAATCATTTTGATTATAATGTCGATAATCTGAAACGACAATATTGTTTTAAATTTTGTTTTATTCTTCGTCCCTTTCGGTGCTAATTTTATAGTTTCTTGTGATTTTAAATCATAAATCACATGATTTTTATAAATTTAAAGTCAAAATGTTCCATTGGTCAAAGATTTTGAAATAATGTTTTTAACCTAAAGTATTTGTTGTTTGTCTTTTAAAGATCAACTTATGCATTGATTGGTGGTTTATAGTTTTTACAACTTATAAATGAAAAATAAAATGCAAAATTTGTGTTCTAATAAAAGATATGGTAAGAAGACTCAAGAACTCCCTTTTGATAAAAAGAAAATGATTGAGTACCAGAATATTTCAAAAAGATAGACCGATAGTAAAGTGAATCAAATCAATTGGACTTCCGTGTTTCGTATAGGAACTATTTATGAAAATCAAGTCGATTTATTCTTATTGACAAACAATATGGAACATTAATCTCGAACAATATGGCTTTGTATTAAAAAGATTATTTATCACATAGATCGATTGATGTTTCACAATGTTCCTCAATAAAAAAAACCCTTTTAATAATCAAATCTAAGAATGACACGATGACGTTAAAGCTTATGACATGCATGTGTCAATACGGAATTTTGTAATGTGGTATTTGATTTTTTTCACGTATTTAGTGTCTTCTAGTGAAGTAATGAATAAAAATATAAAGATGTACCTTGTTCTTGAAAATCACAGGGTTCTTATTTATGATAGAAGCCTACAAACGGCCTCAAAAAGTATGTTGCTAATAATTATATCATGAATAATTAATCAGAAAAACTCAAGCAAACATCATCTAAATCAGTTTAGACATTGTTTGGAAAAAATAAGTAATTTATTTGTTAGTACATTTTTAAATGAGCATAAGCTAACTTATTGATAAACTAATTCAAATTGCTTTTTAGGAGCTTATTGTTACTTTTTCCAATTACTAGAAGAGTACTCGCGCAATGCAACAAGATACATCTCGATTTTAATATTTTATTTTATTATTTGTCTCTGTCGATGTTATAATACGATTTTATGTGTTTTTAAGAAAACAATAATGATTTTATTTTTGAATAAAATATAAATTTGAAGATATTATAAAATTTTGAAAAAAAAATATATCAATGTTAATATCAAATCAACTATTTAAAAGTTCTAATTTTTATGTGATTTCTTTAATTTATTTTTTTATTAATAATTTAATTTAAGTTTAATAATGAAATAATTTCTTTTTGGTTTAATAATATAACATTTTATGAACTCAATGATTATCCTAATTATATTTTAGATTTTTTATATTTAAAATGAGATGTTTATCCTGTATTTGATTATGTTTATCTACAGTTAGTTACACGAATTCAGATATGGAGCTTTCATAAGTTGTACTTACGGACAATCTACTTGTAATCTTGAGTTTTAAGTGATACACATTTAATAAACAATACTTTACGCATAAAAAATTGTTTTTAAGAGTTTTTATCAAATGTTTTTTAATATAGTATAGATAAATGTGATTAATATTAGTAGTTATTTATTACTATTAATTAAAAATAACTATTAATTATTAATAAAAAATAATTATTACTAATATTAATAAATATTAAATCCAATCATTAATCGTTTGTAATTTGTTAATAAAGAACACATTATTCAATTTATTTAGCTTATATATGATTATGCATTTTTCATATGATAAAGGTGTAAAATAAAAAATGAAAATGTATTGATATATTCATGATATTTAATAGTATTATCAAATCTAAAACTATTTAATATTGGGCTCAATTTGAAGGTATTGACGAGACAATTATAATAGTGTAATTTATAAAAGAAAAACACTTTTTAAATGCATTTTAGTTTATATACGATTATTTATATTGATAATGGTGTAAATGAAAAATAAAAAAATAAAGAATATATGGTAAATCAAATCCGTAATTATAAGGGTATAAAATGTAATTTTGAATTTGAAAATGATTTGTTAGAAGATCGTGAGAGGTTGTAAGCTTTAAGAAACTATATAATATTCTTAATTAACTGTACCTCTTAAAAATTCAAGAATAATTGAAACTGTTGCTTTTTAATATAGTACAAATATACAATTATTTATGTTAATATAATAATAGTGTAAAAAAAATAAGAGATATAAATTAAATCAAATCACTAATTACAATTAAGGGTATAAAATGTAACTTTGAGATTTAAATGATTTGGTGGAAGATCGTGGAAGGTTGTAAGCTTTAAGAACTGTACAATATCCTTTATTGGTTGTACCTCTTAAAAATTCAAGATAATCATAACTTAGGGGCCGTTTACCTAAACACTTACCGGGTAAGTGATTAACGGTAAAATTCAACTCTATCCCCTTACTTATCGGGTAAGATTTTATCTACCAAAAACGACATCGTATGTAACAATTTATCTAATATGTGTTAACCGTGGTAAGAGCCGTCTTTATCACTTACCCGGTAAGACTTTCGGTCTGTGTCTTTGCTCTTACCAGGTAAGATTTTGGTCATTACCATATTCATCCGGTAAGAAAATATGACTTGGTAAACGCTTACCCGAGTAAGCATTTGGTAAACGGCCCTTTAGTCTTTTTTAATATCATATAGATACAGATAAAACCATAAGAACAAAAATATGAAGAAAAAGAAATTGCATGAAAAAGATTTAACTACTTTAGCATAAACAATAACAAAATAAAAAAAAATTCATATGCTTAATTTATTAGGTCCAAAAGCAAGTAGTTTAACTTAGGGCGGGGGAGATTTAGTAGTAGTGCATGGCAAAGTAGCTTTATTACTTATTCCATTTATAAGGACCCTTACTCCAAAGAGTATTACATCTTTGATATTCATAAAAAATATATGGTTTTAGTAAATAAAAAAGGCTTAATGAACAAAAAAGCAACCAAAAACGATATTTCAAAACCAAAAAAGACTAAAATATTCCTAACTTAAATGAAAGATTTTTTAGATTTAGTCTCAGAGACGAAAACAACAATGAATTACAAACCATATAAATGAAAAACAAAATTTCAAAACAACAAGGACGAAAATCGTAGTTTACTCGAATATAAGACAAATTAATTCGTATGTATTTATGATATTTAATAGTTTGATTAGATACACAAATATTCAATATTAGCCTCATTTCGAAGGTATTGATGAGATGATTGTAATGATATAATTTTAAAAAAAATGTATTTTCTAAATGTAATTTAGCTCATATACAATTATTTATGTTAATATGGTGAGCATCTAAAATCAAAAATGAAAAAATAAGGGATATAAAATAAATTAAGTAACTAATTATAAAGGTATAAAGTGTAATTTAAAATTTTAAAATGATTTCATTTTGAGCTACGAGGCACATGGTTACGGAGAGATGTATAGATAAGGTTGTAAAATAAAAAATAAAAAAATAAGGGATATAAAAAAATTAAATAAATAACTATAAGATATAAAATGTAAGTTTAAAAACAATTCATTACTTATTTATAATATTTGATAATACGATTAAATCAAAAAATATTTGATATTGGTCTCATTTTAAAGGTATTGACGAGACGACTATAATAATATAATTTGTTAAATAAATAAACGTATTTTTAATGCATTTTTGTTTATTTACGATTATTTATGTTAATATGATAAAAGTGTAAAATGAAAAATGAAAAATTAAGGAACATAAAGTAAATTATATAAGTAACTATAAAGGCATAAAATGTAATTTAAAAATTAAAAATATTTGATTTTCAATATTACGATTGGGATCGTGGGTGGATGTTCAACAAGCTTTAACTATTGTACATTTGACATAATAAGTTATACCTCTTAAAAATTTCGACATAACCATAATTCGTGCTTTTTAATATGGTATAGATTAGTCTGATTTGATTTGATTTTGTTAGAGTTTTATATCAACTAGTTAGACTTGGATCTTTTCATTTTAATATTTAGAACATCTTTCTTTTCTTAATGACTCTTTCGGACAGTAATCTAATAGGATTTCACGTGTTCTTAAATGATATTAGAGCTAACGTCTACCACTTTAGGGACTTGACACTCTGGAGTTATCTTTACTCGATCATTTGCCCCCTCACTCGTGCATGTTGCCCCCTTGAGACAATTCCTCAATTAGAAGGAGCGTGTTAATGTCCCACATTAGATACATGTGGACCATACTACAACAAAATTGAGTTATAGGGCACCAAAAAAATGTTTTAAGTATCCAAATAGACCACTTTATAAGATTTAACTTTACAAAACCAAACGATAAAGTGTTATATCTAAAAGTGTTACAATAGCGTTATAGTACTTTGTTAAGACGAAGTTCAAGAACCTAACAAGTTTTATCAATAAGTTCAGTAACCAAGGAGGACACAAGAAGTAAATTGTCTTCTAAGCCTTTTTCTACATGATACTTGTCAAAAATGTCCAATATAACAAGTTTTTTAAGAAGACTAATATAACATGTTTTAAAAGTGCTATAAAAAAACGCCTAAAAGAAATGTTATTTTCAAAAGTTCATGATTAAATTGTCAAACTTATTATAAGACCATCTACATCGGGCTTGCAAAGTCTTTCAAAAGAAATTGCAAATGACCACCTCATCAAAGTCTTGTTTGACACACTTGCAACTTTTGCAATTGTTATTGCAATGCCATCTAGACCCCAACAAACTTTTTTAATACATAAAATTAATTATTATTA